TGTCCGCCCGACAGCCGGTCACGGGACAGGGGAGCCACGGCCGGAGTGCCGCCATAAAACACCGGCACCAGCTGCCCTACTCGGCCGCGGGAACCATTCCTGTGGTTTGCTCGAGAAGCCGAACTAATTTAGAGCGTTTTAATAGTAGGTCTCAGATGCCTCTGCAAATTAGTTTCTACACGTTTTTGGAGAAGGATGCCAGCAACGGCGTGATGGGGTCCTTACCGTCGCAGCTGTTCTAGGCTTTCAATTTTTTATTCATTATCTTCTATCAAGTTTTTCTTCGTCAAATTCCCAATTCACTAACTGAAAATGTATGAGTAGGCAGACTTCCTCGCGATATACCTACAAATAAAAAGATCGTAAATAATAAAGATAAAAAGTGTAATGATTATTTGCTGCGCGGCTAAAAAGAGATCGGTTATAAATCGTGCCAATTATTGTAGGGATAAATGAAATACTACTGTTCACGCACTTCGTAGATAGGAATGACATACCTACATAGTAGGGTGTCTCGAAAAATAAAGTTGACATGCCTATAGTCCAAAACATTTGCAATCGAGTCTGCTGGTTTCGAAAATCGCAATTAAAAAATTATGAGCCATTGTCTTCAACAAGCGCAGTCGCGATTTCCAAAAGCTTGCACCTACTCTTCGGGCGTTGCAGTCTCCATTGGTTTTGCTTGGTGCTAGTGGCAGTAATAATACGGCGGTTTTCACGGAAGTCTCAGGCAGAGTTCGTGGGTAAAGAGTTTAATCGTAGTTTCAGGTCGGTAGTTAATTGACTTTATTTAGTGTAGACGTTGTCGATACACTTTTTAAAGTCACGCCTGTAATGCGACCTTCGCTTCAGCGCAGCTAAACTCTGGACAAACCACGTCCGGCACCAGCCCATAATCTCAGTTGGAACTCGGACCAGACACGCTAGGACGCCTAGTCGACACTCGAGCCCCTCGAGCCCAACCGCGGCAGCAGCACAGTGATAACTTTTGTCTGCTCTAACCCCATAATCATAGTACCCAAGCCACAATTGTGAGCCGTCTCGTGTCCAGAGCCTACTTGCCACTTGGCGAGGACGTGAACGACGCCCGCTGCCGCCTGGAGGCTTGGTGAGTTTCACCTCGAGGGGCTGCGGCCGCCAGTGTTGATTTAACTCTCGTGATGGTGTCGACAGTCGATGTATGCATTGGTGGTGAAGTTCCTCATTCATTCTCAGGCCATGGCAAAGCCCGGTCCAAGTACCCGTAACCAGACCGTGGTCCCGGTCCTGAATGTCCACCTAGCAGACCTTCCTCCAGCTCCAATGGTCTCTTACACTGGCGGATCTGCAGGGAGGGGGCATTTAGGGCTATGCAGTATGCGGCCTCAAAGGTTTGGCCGCATACTGCATTTAGGGCTGCAGTATGCGGTCATACCAAGCAGTATGCGGCCTCAAAGGCCTAAAGTGGCCTGTTTGCCCCCTCCCACAAACGATAATGAAACATAGTTCAATCAGTGCGTGGCCCAGGAGCCGAGTTAAACAGGGGGTGTTTTACCACCTCCCGGCCCGCAAAGGTTGCGCCAAGCACCGACCCGGAGCGGGTGAACTGGTCGACAAAAGCAATGTGAAGTGTTTACAAAGTGATATAAAGGCATGAGTCGGGTGGGTTACCATTTCTACATTTTTTTTTTAAGTGAAAAAATGTTCATCGTGTCAGGGCTGTGACGAAAAATAAGTGGCCTAAATCCGATGAGAAAATAGGATTTGGTGGTACGCTAGGTTTGGCTCCTGCATGAGTTGCCCCCCCCCAAAAAAAAAACAAATCTGGATCGGCGCCAGTCTTCCTCGCACGCAGCTTCCATGGAGAAGCGATGTTCTCCGATGATTCCTGAAGCAGAGGAATGCTGCTAGCGCAGAAGAGTGTCGCAGAAGCGTGTCGGCCATGACGGCCGATATCAATGTCAGCCGTGCGAAGTCAAGGCTCGACCTCCCACTTATCCGGACAAAAAAAAAAAATGGAATGGAGTGCGCTCAAGAGCAAGACAGAAACGTAGAAAACGCCGCCTATCATGTGTGTTGGCATTCTTACTGCATTTTACCTAGTCAGCGACATGGATATTAGCTTTTAGCATAACCTACTGTCAGCAGGATGAGTATCACTCAGGTTGGCAATTTTTGGATATGTTGGGCTAGGAAAGTGCTTTAGTAAATGTTTATGCAACAAATGTATTGATTCGTTGAAAGATCGCAAGCTGAAGCGAGAACGCATTTATACAGTTTACGTGAAAATAACAACGAAGAAAGTCTATGGAGACTGCAACGCCTGAAATTGTCAGGAAAGGGTTACGATAGACGAGGTGCGCTGGTTCTGAACATTAAATGAAAATTTTTTAATCATCATTTCATGTCATAATAAGGCTAGATGCAAGTGGTTTTTGCTATAGGAAGTGAATTAATTTTTTGACCCCACTTTCGAGACACCCTACTACATAGAGTCAGACCATTATTCGCCTTGGTCAGTGCTTCTTGAAATTCGTCTTCGCCTTGAACGAAGTTTGCTGTACTATCGAGCACACGTATCAAAACGGACAGGTTGACACTAATCACGTCTCACGATACCTGGACCACAATAAGGCGAAAACGAACAAATATCTACTGCTATTCCATTTTTGGAGAACACCGGTCCTGCTGGCCGACCAAATAACAACACCAGCCTTCCTACCCTGCCCGTGGTGGACCGGCCTCAGATAGAGAGATAGCCACTAATGAGCTCCAATAAGGCGTGATTAAGCACGCGGGCCCGACCGGTGCCAGGGAGGCGACTTGTTAGCGCGCGCCGAGCGGGTGTGTGTCGATTTATGGGGCCGGCGCCCGTTCACCCGCCCGGGACGGAGACGGCGGACGGTGGTCGGCGGGAAACCAGCCGCCTCGGGTGTCGGTGGGACTCGGGGTGGTGACCGACTGGTGAATGAGAACAATAAGTGACCGGTGGTGCACAATCCCGCGACAGGTCTTCAGCGCAAGCGGAGCTTGACCGTCGCCGACAGCGCCATACATTTATACCTATATGTACCTAGAAACCACAGGATGCGTTTTGTGGTGACCTACATATAGTTTATCAAAAGTCTGTCGTAGTCGTATGGGGCAAAAATGACAGCCCGACGGTTCAGCCAGAGACGTGAGACGGCACTGCAGCCCGGTTAGCTAGACCGGCGCGACCCGGTCCAGCCGATAGCATGGGTGACCTGGGCCAGTTCGTCCATTGATGCCGCTCATTCCGAACAGCAGTGGTCGCGCCGTTTTTTTGGCGCGAGCTAGGCATGCGTGCAAGGGCGGCACGTCTGCTCCCATTGAGGCACCGGAGGAACGGCCGTTTATGGAGAGAGAGAGAGAGAGAGAGAGAGAGAGAGAGAGAGAGAGAGAGAGAGAGAGAGAGAGAGAGAGAGAGAGAGAGAGACAAAGAGAGAAAGAGAGAGGAGAGGGAGAGGGAGAGGGAGAGAAAGAGAGAGAGAAAGAGAGAGAGAGAGAGAGAGAGAGAGAGAGAGAGAGAGAGAGAGAGAGAGAGAGAGAGAGAGAGAGAGAGAAAGGAAGAGAAAGAGAAGAGGGAGGGACGGAGGGGAGAGGAGAGATCGAGAAGAGAGAGCGAAGGAGAGAGGAGGGATAGGGAGAGGGACAGGAAACGGAGAGGGAGAGGAGGGAGAGAAAGAGCGAGAGAGGAAGAGAAGGAGAGAGAGGGAGGAGAAAGAGGAAAGGAGAGAGGGAGAGGGAGAGGGAGAGGGAGAGGAGAGATAGAGAGAGAGAGAGAGAGAGAGAGAGAGAGAGAGAGAGAGAGAGAGAGAGAGAGAGAGAGAGAGAGAGAGAGAGAGAGAGAGAGAGAGAGACCGAAGGAATGAATTGAAAGGGTAGAGTGAAGATGCTACGTTTGTTTAAAAACGAGAGGCATGCACATTACCCGGTGCCCCGTTAGGTAGAATGCAAGACTGAGGCCACTCGTGACGGCAGGCAGCTTCAGAAGCTGGCCCTTGAGAGGATTCGATGGTCTCAACTCAGGGTACTTACGATCTTTTGGGAGCAAATACCATAGAAGCGACAGATAAGTGTCGGTCCGTTGAAGCGGTTGGTACCGTCCTTCGGAAAGAGAGAGGCTATCAGGCCCTGCTATCCGAACTGATGCCCAGCCGGGTCAACTGGAGCTCCTGCCCTCCTCCGCGGGGGGAAGGGGGGGGGGGGGGGGGGTGGCTCAGGGCGGGGAGAGGAGTGCGCCGTGCCCAGTCGCTCGGAACAGCGCTCTAATAAAGCCATTCGGCGACGATTTACGGGCGTCCGAGCGGCGTTTAGCGCTGCGAATTAGGCCCGTGGCGGCGGATCGCTCACGGACGGCCAGTCTGACGGCCGCCGACAGACGGGGCAGCCCGGCGCGGTTCGTGTCCAACAGCGATTTGGCGGCGCGCGAACACCTCCCAGAGGCGCGGCCCGCCCCCGGCCGCCCAGAGGTCAAGCTGCTGACAGCCCGAACTGGGTTAGCGCCAGTTTAATGCCGTGACCTCTGGCCGACCGCGGTGTGGTCAGAAAGGTTCGTGACGGAGTCATGTGGCGAACGGCGGCCGCTCATCAGCCGAGCGATGGTGAGCGGGCGATGGGCCGCCGGCGGACCTGCTGACAGCTGAACTAACAGCTGACGGCGCCAGCTGCGGATCGTTCCTCCCTGGTTACCGAGCAGACAGACAGCCAGCAGTGCCCGGTCAGCTCCCATATCAGATCTGTGCGAACTTCTCGTCACCTGTCAAATCCGTGTGAACCTGTCACCCGCAGGGAGACAGCCGCCGACTCTGCACGCACTGCCTCCCAGCCCGGGGGCGCTACGAGCTGGCATTCATCATGCAGGGCGCTACACGCCCAACAGGCTCTCAGCCGCCACCGAGCCTCCGGCGCTCGAATTTGCACATGCCCATTTGTACAGACGTATCTGCAGACAGCAGCTCTCTGCGAGCACCGCTCACGGCCATTCGTACACTACAACAGGCGCTCCTCACGTTTATTGTAGTAACTCAACTTAAACACATTCACTGACAAGTTTTGGCGTCGGTGACAAATCGTTTAACAGAGACGGACAGCACTGCGAGCCACTGAACATTTCGCTATTCATGATACGAATCAAACGTCGTCGGACCACGCGGATGCAGCCGGTGACAGCGCTGAGAACGACAGTCCTGCGCGGCTCCCCACCGGCACTGACCGCCCAACGCCCCTGAATCTATCCCCAAATCACACCGTACACCATTGTATCTGAGCTCGGATCGCGTACAAAACCGACGCAAAACGACCGCAAAACCGAGCACACAACGCTATCAACTGAAACGTTCGTTCCCTGCGCTGAGAAAGCCACACGCGACGGGCCGGGCACGGGACAGGCGAGACGTTCGGAACGACTGCCCAGCGACGATGGCATGGACAGCGAGACGGTCGTTATCCAAAATACGTTTGACACATACAAGCGTGACCCGTGGTGGCCACTGAACAATGGACAGTCCCCCACCCCCTCCCTCCCCACGTTCCGACTACCTCACACATTCATACATGAACACACTGAGCAGCTGACCGACCATAGCCGGTCACAGTCGAACATCACTGACGGTACGCCGCAGATGGCGCCCCAGTCGCTCCCAGGCGACTACCAGAGCCGCACCGAGCGGCGGGGGCCAGTGCGCTGGCGGGTGCGCGCGATGGAGGCCCGGCGGTCGCGCGGCAGCGGCTCCTGCTCCGGCGAGTCCTCCGAGCGGCGCTGGATCTCCTCCAGCTGCTCCTCCGTGACCAGCACCAGCGGACTGCCGGCCTCCTGCGGCTCCGAGGGCAGGCGCGTCGTGCGGCGCCGCCGCCGACGGCCGGCAGCTGCGCCCGCCGGCGGCGGCATCGCCTCGGCCGCCGCCTCAGCGATAGCTGGCAGCGCCGAGCGGCGCGCGGCGGCACCCGCCTGACTGCGGCGGCCGACCGCGCGGCGCACAGGCGGCGACTGCTCTCCGTCCGACGGCGGGTCCTCGTCCTCGTCAGCCGCCGCTGCCGCCCTGCTCTTCTTCGTTCCGCGGCCTGTTTTCGTCGCGGTGGGTGGTGTGGTGGGCTCCGAGCCCTTGGCCGGCCGCCGTTTGCGCCCAGAGGCGGTGACGCGCGTCTCGGGCGGCTGCTCCGAGACCGCCCGTGTCGGCAGCCGAGCCGGCGAGGACGGCTGGACGGAGAGACTGCGCGCGCGGGTGCTGCGCGCCGGGGAGGCCGGAGGCGCCATGCCGTCGTCCTCATCATCCTCCACGTCCTCTGAGGAACCCCGCAGTCGGCGGGTCTTGGACGCCCGCTCGGGGCTACCGCCAGCCTCCGACGATTCACTCGCCTGGGACTGTTTTCTGGTGCGTTTGCTCGTAGAGGGAACAGGCACATCTGCTTCAGAGGACTCAGACATCTTCCTGGTCCGTGTGGCTCTCGCCGGAGTCGGCTCCTCAGCGGCCACACTCTCAGACGTCTTCCTCGTTCGCCTTCCGCTCTGTGTGGTGTCTGCCGCCGTATGTTCTTCCTGGCTCTCGGAGGTCTTCCTACTGCGTCTGGTCTTCTTAGCTGTATCCAAAACTAATGGTTCCTCTGGCTCCTCAGAAGCTTTTCTGGTACGTCTGGTCTTCTTTGTTGTGTCAAGAACCGTTGCTTCTTCTGGCTCCTCAGAAGCCTTTCTGGTGCGTCTGGTCTTCTTTGCTGTGTCCAAAACTGATGCTTCTTCTGGCTCCTCAGAAGTTTTTCTGGTACGTCTGGTCTTCTTTGCTGTGTCAAGAACCGTTGCTTCTTCTGGTTCCTCAGAAGCCTTTCTGGTGCGTCTGGTCTTCTTTGCTGTGTCCAGGACTGCTGCTTCTTCTGGCTCCTCAGAAGCTTTTCTGGTACGTCTGGTCTTTTTTGCTGTATCCGACACTGATTGTTCTTCCGGCTCCTCAGAGGCTTTTCTTGTACGTCTTGTTTTCTGAGCTGTGCTCTGGGCAGTCGGCTCTTCTGGTTCCTCAGAAACTTTTCTGGTACGCCTCGTTTTGACGGTGGTATCAGGGCTCGCCTTATCTTTGGGCTCTTCGGAGACATCTCTGGTTGCCGCTCCCTTCTTAGTGGTATCTTCAAACACCGAGTCATCACCATGTTCCGATTGAGAAGCCTTCCTCGTTCTCCTGCCCCTCGAGGTCGCGGGAGCGGTGGCCTGCTCGGGCTCCTCTGACACCTGTCGCGTCCTCAGCCGTCTGGATGGTGTGGAGACCGGCGACCCAGGCTCGATCGAGCCTCCCCGCAGCGAGTCTGTCTCTGCGCCCGCCTCCTCGGGCTCCTGCGAGACGCTGCGAGTCCGCGCGCTGCGTCGGAGAGGCGTGGCCGGACCCACCGAGCCCGCCCGCGACCGAGAGCTTTTCCTGGCGGAGATCGGCGCCTGCTCTGGCTCCGCTGAGGCGCTGCGGCGGGAGCTCTTCCGCGTGGAGGTCGGTGCCTGCTCCGGCTCCGCAGAGGTGCTGCGGCGGGCGCTCTTCCGCGTGGAGGTCGGCTCTGGCAGAGGCTCCTCAGTTTCGCCTTCTTGTTCCTCTGTGACAGCGGCGGTGTCCGGCTCAGCGGGCTCACCGCTCGCCGCTCCGACACTGCGCCCTTCGGGTACAGGTGAGAGAGGATCCACGGCCGCCAGAAGACTGAGTCGGGAGCGGGGAGTCACTCCACCAACGCTGCGCCGTACGCTGCGCCGCGCTCTGGACGGGGTGGTCAGAGTAGCGGCCGAGTCTGTCGGCGGCGATGAAGGAGCCTCCGAGGGGTGCTCCTCAGCCACCGGGGAGAGCGACGGCTCGGCACGCGCAGCCGCTGCCGCCGCCTGTCTCGTTGGTGGAGATGAGGTTGGCGTGGTGATCTTGGCAACGGGCGACGTGGACTGTCCTGCCTTCTCCGGAGATCGTACGACGGTCTTCTCTTTCTTCGGCGACGGTGTCGCTCGCCGAGTTTTTGGTGATGGCGTCGTGTCCTCCTCCGCTGAACCGACCTCCGGAGAGGACAGCGTCCCCGCAGCGGCGGCAGGCACCACCGGATCCGACCCACCTCCGTCCACTTCTACTGCAGGCTCAACGGCTGCCTCTGTGGACTCAGCAGCAGTCTCCCCGGACTCGACGGTTGCCTCAATGGTCTCAACAGCCGTCTCCTTGGACTCGACGGCTGCCTCCGTGGACTCAACAGCCGCCTCCATGGCTTCGACGGCTGTCTCTGTTGTCTCAACTGTCTTCGTGGCCACCACCGCGGTTGTCTCGACGGCTGCCTCTGTGGGCTCAGCAGCTGTCTCCTTGGACTCGACGGTTTCATCCATGGTCTCAGCGGCTGCCTCTGTGGACTCGACGGCTTCCTCTGTGGACTCAGCAGCAGTATCCGTGGCTTCGACGGCCGTCTCCACAGTTTCAACAGCTGTCTCCATTGTTTCCACTGTCTCCGTTGTCTCAACTGTCTTCGTGGTCACCACCGCGGTTGTCTCTGCAGTCTCGACGGCTGCCTCTAACGGCTCGGCGACTGTCTCCGTGGTTTCAACTGTCTCCGTGGTTTCAACTGTCTCCGAAGTCACCACGGTTGTCTCTGCAGTCTTAACGGCTCTCTTGGGCGACTCGCCAGCTGACTTGGTGGTTTCGACGGCCACCTTCTCCGTGGTTTCAACGGTCCTCTCCTCCGTGGCTTCAACAGCCATCCCCGTGGCTTTGACGATAGTCTCCGTGGACTCCACGACTGTCTTCGTGGTCTCTAAAGCCGCCTGGGTCTCCACGATTGTCTCGGCTGTCTTCTCAGTGATCTGTTCGGCGGCCCCCGAGCCGGCCCGCCGCCGAAGACTGCGCCGAGGGGTCAGCAGAGGCGACCCGGCCGTCGGACTGGGCCGGCGCAGCAGAGACGAGCGAGTCAGACGGTCGGCGGGCGGCGAGCGCGGCGGACTGGGCGCCGCCGGCTCGGCCGGCCCCTGCTGCAGCGAGGTGAAGCCGGTGAACTGCGCCGGCTCCTGCTCGTCTTCACTGTCCGACTCGAGCCGAAGAGTCATACTGGACACCGCCTCCGAGCTGTTTGAAAGCACACCAGAGGTGATGGCCGCTCCCTGCCCGATCGTCGTAGACAGATCAGGCAACTGGAGAGCCTGGTCGATCCTCTGCAGAGCTTCCTGCAAGCCAGCCGGCGGTGCCAAGTAACTCTCCGACATCGGTGATGCCTCCTCGTCGTCGTCGTCCGGGACGCCGGTCACCCACGCCGTCCGTCGCTCGACCGCAGACTCTCCGTCCGGTGTGGAGCGGCGGCGGAACTCGGTGCTTCCAGTGCTGACCTGATCACCACCCGACACCACCTGAGCCTCCAGCTCAGCCAGCCTGCGGTCCAACAAGTCACTCTCTGGCGTGCCGGTCACCCAGGCGGCCTCCCTCACAGCTACCGGCTCTGCTCCTGACGTCACCTCCGGCGCTGGCGACTCGCGCTCTGGCGTCTCCTTCCCAGCAGAGACCGTGCCGGGTCCCGTCAGAATCTGCGCTTCAAGCGTGCTCAGTGTGCGATCCTGCGTCTCACTCTCCTCTCCAGTGACCCAGGCAGTCCGCTTCACAACAAAAGGCTCTTCACCGGCCGCGTAAGTGGAGGTATTCTCTGGTGATTTCTCAGGGCACGGCTTCGCCCGCTGAGGGCTGCTGTCAGCTCCCGTCAAAATCTGGGCTCCCAGCGATTCCAAGGCACCCTCCGCCGGCTCGTCATCAGCCATTGCCGCCAGACTGGTGAACTTGTTACCGATCAGTGGGCTAAACTCTCCAGACGAGTTGGACTCACGCCGCTCGCTCTTCTCTGATGACGCAGCGGGTGTCTTATTGTCCTCGGACGGAGTGACGGGCTCCTCCTCATCTTTTTCTGACATGGCTGGTTCTTCTTCAGGCGCAGCAGTCTCCAACTCATTCTCTGAAGCCACTGATTTCTGATCTTCCTCGGACACGATCTGGTTCTGTTCGCTTTTCTCCAACAGTGCGGTCGGCTCGGTCGCTCGTGCACTCACGGACGATACCTCAGTGTGAACCACAGCACTGACCTCGCTACGCTCCACACGCACGCCCGACCTGTCACCAATGTCTTCAGTATCACAGACAGTCGCCCGGGTTGACCGATGCAGTTCTCGGCGCGGACTAGGGGTCACCAGATGAAGCTCTGTACGCGGACCGACGGCTTCTTCGTGCTCCTGGTCGCCGACGGTACGCCGCTGCAGCTCCTGCTGTGGAGTCGAGTGCCGCTGTCCAACTTCATCCTCATGCGCCGGAGAGCCCTCGCTCATCGTTTCGTCGTCGTCACCAGTATGTGATCTGCGCGACACATCGCCACCCATGGTCACCACGTCACTCTCATCATGCCAGGAACGCTCTACTAACTGCAGCTGCCGCTCGCGGCCGAAGAACTCGAGCGTCTGCTCAGCTACCGTCGGGCTCGCTTCGAAACTGTAGAACTCACTGTCATCTAGCTCACTAGCCAGCGATTGACGTTTGCTCGGCGGTGAGGCTGGTTCGGGTGTAGGCGGTTTTCGCTCGGCGGCAGCCAATACCTCAGCCATAGCGATCCGCGGCTCGGGCAGACGGCTGATGCGCGGCGCTAGCGGTGCCGGCGTCTTCCCAGGTGTGAACAGAGACGCCAGTCGGACCGGCGCGGGAGTCGACGGAGTCTGAGAGTGCTCGGGAGCCACCGGGGACGCGGACGAGAGGACCGGAGCACGCAGAGGAGCCGGCGTCTTCCCAGGGGTGAAAAGAGTGGCCAGCGGCGGGGGAGTATGATCAGCACGGCTCTCCTCCAACGAGCGGCGGCCGCGCAGCATGCCAAACCGCAGCTGCTTGGATGGCGTGTCCTCAGTGCGCGAGGCGCCGCTCGATTCCAGGTAACGGCGCACCTTGAGAATTGACTGCGGCGTCCTGGTGGCGGCTGGAGTGGTCATCTGGGGCGTGCCGGGCTCAATGTCGGAGCGGCGCGGCGCCCGGCGCACAGGCGGTGTCTGCAGCAGGCGCCGCACGTCGGGCCGCAGCGGACGTCGCTGGCCGCCAGCCGGACTGTCGAATACGTCATCATCCTCCGGCAGTTTCCGCTTGTGGCGAGGACGGAATGGCGTGGCGGCGACCGCCGGAGTCGCTGGTTTCTTGCCGTTCTGTTCGAGTACCTCTTGGATGAGGATGGCGCGCGAGCGGACGTCGGCCGGCACCTGGTGTAGCTGTGCCGAGAGTGGGCGGCGGCGACTCGCAATGGTGCTGTGACGGGGAACTCCAGCCGACGGCGAACCGTCGCGTCGGTGGATCAGCGTCGGTAGCAGCTGATGGAGCGACTGTCGAAACTCGGCCCGCGCCGGGGCAGGGGGCGCAGCGGCGGCCGCCAGTCTCCGCTGCAGGTCGCCCGCCTCCCGGTACCGGCCCCGCTGTAGGTAGAACACGTGCAGCAACTCGGCACACTCACGGTCGGCGTTCTTCTCCAGAAACTGGATGAACTGGCGCTCAAGCGCGGCGTCCAGCGGCTGACGCATCAGCTGCGTGAGCAGGCGGCGCTGCTTGCAGCCCTCCAGCAGCCACCCAGTGAGCTCGTCGCCTCCCAGAGGACGGTGGCGGCGCTCATAGCGCAGCGCCTCCGTCACCAGACCGTTATCCAGCAGCACGCGCAGGTGAAGCCGCAGATCGGCGGCGTGCGGCGCCGGTAGGTGGCGCGCCCGGGCGTACTGTAAGGCAGCGCGCGGCGCCTGCTGCGCCAACAGCGACTCAACCACGCGCCGGTGCTGCCAGGCGCTGAGGTCCGCCGGCCGGACCAGAGGGTCCATCAGGAACACCAGAGCAGAGTCCACATTGCCGTGGTCCAGGTGCCAGAAGGCGTGCGTCAGCTTGATCAGGCTGGGCGGCATGGCGAAGCTGGAGGGGAACGACTTGAGCGTGTCGTGGTGTTCGTCGGACACGAGTCGGCTGAGGTCGAGCAGCAGATAGTGCAGCAGGCGGTGTTTGCGCACGTCAGTCACTCCGTCCAGCAGATAGGCACGGGTCAGCGCCTGCAGTGAGCGCGGCGGGTACGCGCCGTCGCCGTCCTCCTGCCAGTAGGCGCGCAGCGGCTCACCCAGCTCCTCCACCAGGCCGTCCACCATGAGCAGGCGGCGACCCAGCTGTCTGCGCCGCTCGGCGTACCACTGCGCTAGCGCCGCGCCCGGGTACGCGAACTCGACTGACTCGCCGGCCTCCTCGTCAGCCTGCTCGGGCAGCAGGCCGGCGTGACACAGCCACAGGATCACACCCGTGTGCAGACTACGCACACGCAGCACGTAGCTCTTGGACTCGAGCTCTGCGCGGCCGCCGTCAGTGTTTGGGGTTCTGGCAGCCATAGTGTCTAGCACTGTGACCATACCGTCCAGCTGAGCGCGCAGTCCATGTAGAATGGCCAGATCTTCGTCAGAGAGATTCCCGGCGCTCATGTCAAACAGCGGTACACACGCTGCGTCGATGCGCGACACCACCTCGACGGCGTGCTGCCAAAGCCAGTTGAGTAGCGCGCGCAGGGTGCAGCCGCCCGGGTCGGAGTCGCCCGACGACCACCGTGTCGCACACGACGCCAACAGCGAGCTGAAGCCGCGCTCCAGCGCCAGAGTGAGCAGCGTCTCGCGCTGTTCGGCCGGGGAGACGGCACCGGCGGACACCAGACCGAGCCGGCGCGCAGCCTCGTACGCCTGCAGGGGCTGTGACAGCTGGGCGCCTCCAGTCGCCTGCAGAGCGCGTAGCAGCTGCTCCTGCGGTCCGCAGAACGACATGGTCTGCACACCCACGTCCAGCAGCAGGGTGGTCGTCAGCAGACCCGAGCGCGGCTCGGCGGCGCGCACCGACACGCCCATCACGATACCGTCGCTGGCGTCCAGCGAGAAGAAGCGCAGGTACTCACAGCGCTCCAGGCCGGCCGCGTCCACGCGGTGCGGCAGCTGCGCCTGGTACCAGCGGTTCAGGTCGAACAGCGCCAGACAGGTGCAGGCCGAGGCGCCGTCCTCGGTCCACGCCTCCCAGGCCAGCGCGCAGCAGGTGCCGTCTCGCGGCGCCAGGCTGTCGTCTCCGCCGCCGCTGCTCTCCAGGCCGGCAGCCGGCAGCGCGAAGGCCGACAGCAGGCAGCTGGCCGACACCCGACCGGCGTCCGGCTGCTCGGGCGTGGTGGTCAGATCGTACACCAGCTTCCGACCTGCCTGCTGGAGGCCGCGGTAGACGGGTATGCCTTGCTCCCAGGACCGTTCTGTGTAGAGTAACGCGTACAGCGCCGCGGAGGCCACAGAGCCGTTCATGTCGTGGTAGGCCGGCACGCTGTTGATGACCCACAGGTAGACGAAGCGGCGCGGGTCGTTCTCGGGTTCCAGAAAGACGCAGCCGACCACTGGCAGCTGGCCGGCCTCGTACCGACTGGCGAACTCTAGCTGAAGTGTCTCCAGACTCCACACCTGACGGTGGCACAATAGCAGCTCACAACGCAGTTTGAGAACCTAACACAGTATGGGAAATTCACAAAAATACAGACAAGATTGATTCTAAATGCAACAGGGAAATAACAAGGAGTACAGAACTGAGTTGTCTTGTTACGTTTTGCCTTAGGACTAAAACATTTCTGGCTACAGTGGTTCCACAAAATTTGCCCATACAAATAACAGCAATCGTTGGGAAGTTCAAAGTATAAATGTGTCAGCTGCCAGCCCTGTCACAGTTAACAATTTATCTATAATAACATACTGTAGAATCACAACAGCGAAGTAACACTAAGCAACACTAAGCGAGCAAAGTAAAACACAATAACATTCCACATTCTACCTCCTAGTTCAATTATGAGCAGCTGACAGAGAATACCGTCACCCCGCTCCCGCCCGTTCCTCCCCGCAGCCCCTCCTCCATACCTGGAAGCATCCGAAGCTGAGACCGACGACCAGGCTGCGCAGCTGGGGCAGCCAGTGCACGGTCGAAACCCAGGTGTCGTCGGCAGGCTGGGCGTGCTCGAGCCGGCCCGCCGCTGACCGGTGCTGGTACATGCCGCCCTCCACGGCCGCGTCGTTAAGCGGCAGACACAGGTGGTTTCCGAGCGCCGCCTGCTCGTGGCGCCGCTGCGCCGCCGCCGGCTCCAGTACAGTGACGTAAGTGGGCACGCCAGGGTTGCGTTCGTCTGTGTCCACTGGCCCGTCCAGGCAGAGGTCGAGCAGCAGCACGAAGCCGGCCTGCGTGCCGACGGCCGCCAGCACGCCCATGGCCTGTAGCGGCGGGCACAGGTCGACCGAGTCGGTCGGCGCGCGCAGCACGTGCAGAGCGGTCACCTGGTGGGGCAGTCGGACGGCGCGCACCACTGCCGCCGCCGACAGGTCGAACACGCACACCATGCCGCCGCCGGTAGCGCCGGACGAGTCGGAGCGGCCGCCGCAGTCGAGACCGACGGCCAGCAGATGGGCGGCGGCCGGGCCGACCGCCTCGGCCACGGAGCAGACGGCAGTCACCTGTGGCGGAGCGCCGTCCGTGCAGTGCGCGCCGAACGTCCAGGCGGCGCGACGCGCGCCCGTCCGGCAGCAGAGCACCTCGAGCGCGGCGCCGTTGGCCGCCCAGGCGAGCCGGCCGCCGGGCAGCGGCTGGCCGAACGGTGCACCGGGCGCCTGGTCAGCGGCGCCGGCGGGGTCGGCGCCGGGCCGCGCCGCCGCCTGATGTAGCCGCTGGTGGGTGACGGCCGAGAACGGCAGCAGCCGGTGGCCGCCGCTGGGCGTGACCACCACCATGGCTGCTCAGTCTGCCAACAGTACAGTCATAGACACATTAGGTAGGTACTCAGTTACATTCAGCATGACACAGCAGCACAACAGCACACACAGATAACACAGGAGCTGGGTCTGGGTTTTGTTTAGCATTGAAAGGTTGCTATTGAAAAATTGTCATTTCACCATAAAGAGGCATTACAAACACATTTAGAATACACTGTGATTGAGACATAATGCAGTTCTTACAGTTAACTCAATGTTCATTGTTCAGATGCTTGAAATGCTTGCTACTCAAATGATCAAATAAAAAAGTTCACATAAATTATGCAGAAATAAATATACAGCAGCCAGCATGAAATGAGATCCCAAAGACAGAACTTGCTCATACAATTCAAAAATAGACACTTTCATTGAAATTGTAACAAGTCCTATCAGCTACTACTATTAGACATAGTAAATAATAATGCAGTGACTCTCTAGGACATGGTCATTTTCCACAGTACCCAGAAATGCAGGCTCTGTATTCATGCATTGCAGCTCAGTAAGGGCTAAGGCAAGCACGAAACCATGGCCCATGGCATGGCTAATGCACAGAGAAGGTAGGTAGGTGTGTACCACAGGAAAGCTACAGCAGCCAACTGCCAAATTGAAGTAGTTGCACATGACAGACGTCAGACCTACTAATGTTGCCTGCTAATTGTTACAAAATTAAATTTGTCAGAAATTGCACAGATCCCAGGACAACCAATCACAAAAACTGAGATGGTCCAGGCCAATTGATGGTCTTCAAGCATGGAATAATGGTGAAAAGAATTGCCCATAGAAGCCTCTCATTGAACTAACTATTTTGCATTCATTCAGAGTTAACAGTTCTGAGAAAATCTCTCCACGCTACCTCAGATCTATGCCTCTCAATGAATCAGATCTATGATCACAGTCGGGCACACTGTGGTAATTCCGATCCATTTATGGAAACGTTTCCATTTTTGGAACAATGTTCCAAAAATGGATACGCCGTTTCCAAAAATAGAAACGATCTGTTCCATAAATGGAGACGCTGTGTGCATCGCTACCTTTAAAGCAAACTGGGCATTGATTGGTGCAATTTGGCATGCGCAGGATGCCACCAATCGACAGCCAGCATTCTAGTTTATATTCCTGTTCTCCGACTTTCCGATCAGAAAACCGGAAGTTGACGAACGAGGCGATGCTTATAACATGTTGATGTGATAAAAAAATTCACACGTTTTTCTAATCGAAAATAATAACATTTATGAATGTTTTGAACAAAAAATAACGTTTTTAACAGACTACTGAAAGACTGACCCATTGATTGGAACAACCACATCACCGGGAACTTCAGTTTTTCATTCATTTTCACGCTGCGTTTTCCGGTGTACCAGCGGCCTGGTGGTCGTCAATCTTTGATTAAATCGCATGAAAGTTGTTGCAAAGCCCTATTTGGAGACTTAAGTGGGCATTTTATGATATTTCAAATGTGCTGAATATGATCGTAGGCTCGGATCAACGTAAATATCCGTGCAAATACGTAAAAAGCAGGATGGAAATAAGGTCTGCACCGTCGTCACACCAAATACCGTTGTATTCTGACGATGAATTTATTCATTCTAGCTCATGTGTAACATTTATATTAATTTTATATATTGAAATGATATCTACGCTTTATGTATTGCCCACTTTGGACCACATCTGTCCAGTAGTTTCTGGGAAATCTTAGTTTTAGTTGACTTGAATGTGCTCCAGTTGCGGCGCGCAAGGTATTATTATCGAACCCGACGTCCAAGGTAACTGCCGAGAGCCGAGATGCTAAACCAGTCCCAAAACATCAAATTTTTAGTTTCATGTGAATTTTAAAAACACATTTAAGCTAAGTTTGCACACATTTGAACTTCAGCGTTTCTATTTTTGGAACATCGTCGTTTCCATTTTTGGAAACTAAGTCTCCATAAATGGATACGATTCAGGAGCATTTTAAAGACGTGAATTTTAATGCATACGACAGCTTTCCATGCAAGAAGACAAGTGCTTTTGGTGTATCTGAGCTTGTTTTACGGTAAACAGTTGTTATACATCGAATCCAGCCACCCTTGGCAAGAAAATATGTGTGGAGATGTTAGCGTTTCTATTTATGGAACGAGCGTTTCCATTTTTGGAACAGAAGAGTAGTCAAAATTGGAAACGTTTCCAATAATAGAAACGTCTCCATAAATGAATCGGAGATTTGGTCATTGGTCGCGGACTTTTGGCGGGAGCGGACGTCCCTCGAGAGCTCTGGCGATCTTGGATTATTGCATCGATCTTTTGTTTCTCAAGAATGTGGTCTATGAGTTTTTTATAGATACTCATCTCACATTCTGCACATAGCTAGTTGAACTGGAAGAGAATAATTTTGATCTTCACTCGAGAAGCAACCAGCCGTTAGGGGCGCTGGTATTCTCTGCGTTGGTATGCCGACACTCCGCTCCCCGGAGCGCCCGGGGCTACGGCGGAATAACAGGAACGAATCGGCGTCCCCGATGCGAAATGTGTCGACGAGAGGCGTTCGAGTGGCTGGAGGGGCAGTTGGGGATGCAAATGAATCTGTGAAAACTGCAACTAAGGGCAGAGGCGATCAGAAAGCTGCAAAGAAGGTAAGAGATCGGGGCTCGGCCAATTCTGATGTTGGAAAGGAGCAAGTATCGGGGGAAAGGCCTACTGGGCAGGATCAGGATGGGGACTGCGATCGCGGCCGAGACTCAGGATCAGTGGATCTTGATGGCGTTTCCCTTCGCGGTGCATGTTCTAATGTGATAGCTGATGTAAATGTGTCCCGAAAGGAGAAGCCCCAGGGGGCCAGGTCAAAGTTGAAGGGAAGAGAAGTCGGAAAACTAGAAAATGAGGTATTCAAACCATTCGGACCCCCATCTCGTACCTCCAGTGTAAGCGATGCAGTTGAGGCTGTGATTTGCTCGGGTGGCCCATCAAAATCCTGCGGCAGGCCAGTATCTGATGATGATGAGGGAATTCTCTGTGATGCATGCTGCCTATGGTTCCATGCCGACTGCCAGGGTGTTACCGAGATAGAGATGAAAGCTCTGAAGAGGCATAAGTCCCTGGCGTGGCTTTGCTCAGCATGTAAGGATGGTTTCTCAAAAACAGCCCACCGCTGTGGCTGCTGCACTCGTGTTGAGACCAGACTGTGCCACCTAGAGGAAGCTCTCTCTGAGCAAGCCAAAATACTCATGAAGGTGGGTGATGGACAAGAACACCTTGCAGATGTTGTCAAGGCCAGCAACCAGAAACTGGAATCCACAGTTCTCGATCACAACGTCACAGTGGTCCAGAAGGTCAGGGATGATGACGATAAGAGGCAGCAGTCCTACGCTGATATCGTCAGGGGATCCTGTGTTGAGGTGATTGAGTCTATCACATCCAAGATTGAAAAGATTGAAAAGTTACCAAAGGAGCAGCAAAAGACATCTGTTGGTCCCACACCCTCCCTGCAGATTGTGGGCATAGTGGACAGTGTCCTAGACAAGGAGAAGCGCAAGAACAATGTGGTTGTCCATAACCTGCCTGAATCACCAGCTGAAACCCATGCTGATAGAGTAGCTCAGGACAGATCCAGGTTTGTCCAGCTTGTTAAAGATGAGTTCCATCTAAGTGTCAGTGTGACCAAGTTATTCAGAGTTGGGAAGCCCATGACGGGCAAGCACCGCTTGCTGATTGTGACCCTCGACAGTGAGGAAACTAAATGGGAAATTCTCCGCCAGGCACCCCAGCTCCGCCACAGTGAGTTGTGGCCAAGGATCTACCTTTCCCCTGACTTAACGAGAGAGGAAAGAGAAGAAGGACGCAAGTTGAGAGAGGAACTGAAGAGACGCAAGGACAATGGGGAGCTAAATTTGGTGATTAAAAATCGCAAGATTGTAGAAGGAAGCAGAGTAATGAGACCTGGCTCTGGGTCCAGAAGAAGGGAGGCAGCAGCCCCTGAAGTCCAAGACCCACCTGCCGCGATGAACGGTGACCACCCCACACCTTTGCAGACAACCTTGGCTAATCATGGTGACAGGACCTCCTGACAGAATCAGGGTGTGGGAGGCAGTGAGGCCACAGCCCCATCAAACCGACCAACGCAAACTGCTCGGACGGCCTCGGTGGTCATCCCAGAAACTGTAGATGTTCCTGCAGTTGTTCCTTCTAGCTCTGAATCTGAATCTGAGGAAGCTGCATGACTGTCTCAAGACAGGAGAAGAGATGAGAAGGCTGGCCTCAGCTTTCTCTATACTAATGCTGACCAATTTCTCAACAAAAGGGATGAGCTGTGTATGCAAATTGCGGGCAGTCAGCCTGATGTTATATGTATCACCGAGGTCATCCCCAAGGCACAGACACTTCCCATAGCTCCAGCTCAGTTGGCCATTCCCGGATACATCCAGTACACCAACTTTGATCCCTCAACTCCAAATCTCGGGTCTAGTGGTATTCGTGGTGTATGTTTGTTCATTGCCAAAGGTATTCAGGCCTCAGAAATCTCTTTCTCTGGCAATGTTTTCACTGAGCAGCTTTGGCTCAAGATCAGGCTCCTTGGAAGTGATGCATTGATCTTAGGCGGCATATACCGAAGCCCATCAGCTGATGCTGCATTGACAGGCCACCTCTGCAACCTACTAGTTGAAGTCAGCAACGCCAAGCCATCGCACTTATTAATCATGGGTGATTTCAATTTTGGCACCATCGACTGGAACTGCAACATGTCTACAGCACCCCCCTCTCATCCCTCGCATACATTTCTTGAGGCTGTGCGGGATGCCTACCTATTCCAGCATGTGAGGCAGCCTACTCGCTTCAGACATGGATTTATTCCTCACACCCTTGACCTGATATTTTCAAATGAGGAGGGCATGGTCACAAATCTAGCCCACTTCCCTGCTCTAGGCAACAGTGACCACGAGATACTGCGGTTTAACCTGCACTGCTATACGTCCAGGAGAGACACCCTAGACAGCAGGCTCAACCTTCACAGAGGAGAGTATGAGAGCATGGCCAGAGACCTCCAGAGTGTTGCATGGAGGAGCATGGATCTAGCTCCCCTGGAAGATCACTACAAGTTCTTCTCGGACACCCTGAAGCTGACGATGACCAAGCACATCCCGAGGCTGAAACAGCACCGAAAGAAGAAAAGTATCTACATGACAAGAGAGGCATTGACACTCAGGAATAGAAAAACAAAACTGTGGAGGTGCTACATCAGGACACATGCCGAGGCCGATCACACCCGCTTCACTCGAGTTCGCAACGACTTGCGCAGTCTGACAAGAAGACTCAGGCGGGACTTCGAAAGGCAGCTTGTCAGCAACCTCAAAGAAGGGGTTAAGCCCTTCTGGCGATATGTCAACTCCCGGACCAAGACAAAGGCGGGGATCGAAGACCTCAAGAAGCCTGATGGCTCCTTGGCCTGCTCTGATGAGGAGAAAGCGGCTGTGCTCTCCGAGGCTTTTGCCAGTGTGTTCGTGAGTGAAGACTGCTCGAGCGTTCCTGGCCTGACATCTCAATGGGAAGGTCCCCTCCTCGAGAGAGTCGAGGTAACTCCTCACATGGTCGAGAGGAAGCTTCGCAACCTCAAAACGTCAACTTCCCCGGGTCCCGACGAGATCCCCTCGAGAGTCCTTCGTGAGCTGGCCATCCCACTATGTGTTCCCATCAGCTCGCTGTTTGGGAAATCGCTGGAGAGCGGCGAGCTCCCATCCGAGTGGAAGAAGGGCTCTGTAGTCCCTATCTACAAGAGTGGCAGCAGACAGGAGTCCACAAACTACCGGCCAATCAGCCTGACATCAGTCTTGTCAAAGATACTTGAAGGATTTGTCCGGGACAGGCTTATTCAGCACCTGACCGAAACGGGACAGCTGAATGATGCTCAGCATGGTTTTCTCCCGAAAAGATCATGTGCTACTCAACTCCTGTCATCCCTGGAGGACTGGACGCGGCTGATTGAGAATAAGGAGCCAGTTGACGTCGCCTACCTCGATTTCCGAAAGGCGTTCGACTCCGTCCCCCACCAGCGCCTACTTCGGAAGCTGCACGGCCTTGGGGTTCGAGGGAATCTGCTGAAGTGGATCGAGGCCTTCCTCACCGGACGCAGTCAGCAAGTAGTCGTGAACGGTGCCAGGTCTGCTCCTGTTTCAGTAAGGAGCGGCATCCCTCAAGGTTCGGTCCTGGGCCCGACTCTCTTCGTTGTCTTCGTCAACGACCTCCCCGATTGTGTCAAATGCCATATCAAGCTCTTCGCGGACGACGCAAAACTGTATGCGAGTCCTTGGCTGGAAGGAACCCAGGGCCGCACCCAGATGCAATTGGACCTGGAAAGACTCGAACACTGGTCCACGACTTGGCTGCTGCCTTTTAATCAGAGGAAATGTAAGGTCCTGCATCTGGGGTCCGGCAATCCCAGACACGAGTACTCCCTGCTTGGAGCCCCTGTCGCACAAGTTGGGGAGGAGAAGGATCTGGGAGTCATCGTCGACGAGCAGCTGAAGTTTCGGAAGCAGGCTGCCACGGCCATCAAGAAGGCAAACCAGATCCTGGGGATCATCAGGCGTTCCTTCGAGCTGCTGGACACTCAGACGTTACCCCTTCTCTTCAAGACGCTGGTGCGCCCCCACCTGGAGTATGGGAACATTGTCTGGGGACCCTTTAACAAGGAAGACCAGCTTCTTGTGGAGCGAGTACAGCGCCGAGCTACCCGGCTTGTCGCGGAGATCCGTCATCTTCCGTATCAGGAGCGCCTCAGCAAACTCAAGCTTCCATCCCTGCTCTACAGACGACGCAGAGGTGACGTCATCATGGTGTACATGCTGATGAACAACCACCTCAACCTGGCAAAGGACGACTTCTTCCAGCCGGCTCCTTCTACAAGCACCAGAGGTCACTCCATGAAGCTAGCGAAACCGACAGCGCTGACAAGAGCTCGGAGAAACCACTGGAGCGTCCGGGCGCTAAACGACTGGAACTCCCTGCCTCCCCACGTCGTGACGGCGACCTCTGCTAACGAGTTCAAGAACCGGCTTGATAGTCACTGGTCTGATCATATTTATGACATACCTACTTAAGCTAGAGCAATAACCGAGATTCAAAGAGCTCGATGAGAACGGGTCCAAAAGGCCTCTGGCCTCCCAAAGTCCCGCCAACAGTAAGGTAAGGTAAGGTAAGGAGATACCACAGTGCGCCCGACTGATCATGATCCCAGATCATGGATCCAAGATGGATCTTGAGGGTTTTTCTCAGAACTGTAAACTCTGAAGGAATGCAAAATAGTTGATTCATTGAGAGGCTTCTATTAGTCATATTTTCCACATTAATCCAAAGCTTGACCATCAATCTAATGGCCATCTGTTTTTGTGATTGGTTGTCCTGGGATCTGTGCCATGTCTGCTATTTGGTTTATGTGCCATGCCTAGTGGACCAAATGCTAACTGGAACTCTCATGCTGAACCAAATGGCCAAGTAGCTGCAATGTCGCATGCATTGCTTGGGAATTGAACCACCCTAGCTGCATTGCTTGGGAATTGAACCACCCTAGCTGGGTGGTTCAATGAACCACCCAGCTGGTGAGACAGCTCAGCCAGGAAAATAGGGAAATGTAGGCAAATACACATTTGATATAAATAACCAGATAACAGTACAGGAGTAATTTTCATGTATATTGATATTACACTAAACCTCGCAGATATATCATTTAAAATGTAGATCGAGATATCGAGATAGGCTCCGTGGCCGGAGACGGATTTGTAAGCGATCTTATTACAATTGTGAATGGAAATTACTACCAACTTACTTTAATTACGTGCAATAGTAGTCAGCTACTAGGGAAAGCAGCAAAACATCCCACTAACCCCTAAAAATCCCAAATATCGGCCCAACAAACCCCAACCCCATACAAAATTTACAAATCGTCCAGCGAGCTCCACGCGCGCTCCAACGGAAACTAAAAATCATATGTTAGCTTTTGGTGATGTCACGAAAAGTTAGTCAGCAAATCAGCATGCAGCATTTTGCCAAATATATGGAATATGACGTCATATTTAGCAAATAATATAGTTTGAGATAAAGCCATTGTTTTCTACAAAGCTGGCGCGTTTGTGTTAAATACCGGCGAAAGATTTGTATTGGTTGTAGGTATTGGATTGGTATTGGTATTTGATTGGTATTGCTTTGAAGCGAGCTGCTGTTTTTCGCGTGAAGAGTTTCAAGCCAAGATACGGTATATAGCTATATACTCTGGTATATAGGGCCTTGCAACTTGCAAGATACGTGATCTTGCGATAGGTAGCCGATAGGATGGCCTTGATAGAGGGTGCCGAAAGTAACTAACGCTATCTCGGATTTTCTTGGAGCATTGAATCCCTTCCCTTGACGGTTGATGTGTGAGTTGAAGCCTTATCTATTATGCATATTAAATTTTGGAGGGTTTGTTAATTTGTACTTACCCAACACTGCCGCTACTGGTTTAAGTGCTGAAAAGTCAGGAAGAAAAAGCTGTTAGCTGATTGATAACAGTGGTAGGTACCTACCCACCACACCAGCCTACACACTATAAGTTAAGCCCTGGGTGCTAAATGTGATGTTCAGTGTCCTTAATTTGCCTGCCTCACCACGCAGTAGACTCGAAGCCTAACATGCTCTATTTCCATTGAGTCCAACTCCAACTAATGCCCTTCTGAGGGACGCCGGTGAAAACAGGGCGCCGGAGGGCATATTAGTCATGTGATATTTGGAATTTACCCCGCTCCAAGGGCCTTCTATATGCCAAACGTCACGTGTAAATTTCACGAACCTTGATCAAATCGCCCCAGGCGCCCTGTTTTCACAGTCGTCCCTTCTGAGTTCTGCAGCAAGTTTGTCTGAGAATGCATTGAATGTAAACTCATGGATTCCGGTTTCCATCTCCCTCAGAACACAGAATCACTGACAGAAGCTGAGTAGCCACACTGGGCATGAATATCAGATGGCTCTAGTGTTAATGACAAGGTCCCAGCCACAGCCAGCAAACTTGGTCCAGGCCATATCTGGTTTTACTCTGGCAGCTGGCTAGCTCTGGCATTTACTCTATCCAAAGCATGGGCAAGGTCTGGAGCTGTACTGGAGCTGACTGGTATGATCCCAGAGCTTGCCCGCTTTACAGCCGGACTTATGCCATATCAGCCATGCCATACCTCAACCGTACTTCAGCCACAGTAAGCCAGAGCAGCTATGAGGCAACCGGACCTGGCCATAGCACGCCGTGGCAGGGAGCTCTAGGTACTTGAGCTGGACGACTTGGTGGTCCGAAACCATACCAACTCTGAAGCGCTACGCTTTACAGCTAAAGGCCTGGCTACACTATGCGTTTTCTGCGTGCGTTTTTGCAGGTTTGCGTGTTTTGCGTAATATCGTTCTAGGAAAAAAGTTATAAACAATATAATTTTTACTTTGGTTATATACAAAAGCTAATATAACTCTTATGTAACTAAAATTTAAGGTGAAAAACATCACAAAAACGTAATATCGTTCTTTTTTCTAGAACGATATCACGCAAAACACGCAAACACGCAAAAAACGCACGAAGAAAACGCATAGTGTAGCCAGGCCTTAAGACTGGCTAACTGGAATAGAGCCATCGACCCAAACCCCCTGTTCTGACTGCATTCCGTTTACACCAGCCCAAATCTGGCATGTTGGAGCTGCTGGGGTAAAACAAACTTGAGCCAAACCAAATTGCTGGCTGGGGCGATGCTAAGGTGATATCTTATCAACTCTGTATTGACACACATTTTCATTGATTGACCTGAGTCACTCACTTCTCAAACCTGTCTTGTTTCAGGAGTCAGGACCACAGCTGCTGTCCTGTTTGGCACAGGGCCTGTCTGACATCACGTCTGGGGCTCAGCCATGAGTACCTCCAAACATCGCAACTTTGAGTCAGGCCACCATGACCTGATCAATGATGTGGCATTTGACTTTTATGGCCGCCGGCTAGCCACCTGTTCCAGCGACCACACAGTCAAGGTGTGGGACCAGAATGAGCAGGACCAGTGGCAGTGCACGTGCTCGTGGCGCGCTCACTCTGGCGCCGTGTGGAAGGTGACCTGGGCACACCCAGAGTTCGGCCAGGTGCTGGCCACGTGCTCGTTCGACCGCACGGCCGCCGTCTGGGAGGAGATCGTCAGCGACGCATCCAGCGACCACCACCAGACGACGTGGATCCGGCGCGCGCCGCTGGTCGACTCGCGCACCTCCGTCTCGGACGTGCGCTTCTCGCCGCGCTATATGGGTCTCCAGCTGGCCACCGTCTCGGCCGACGGCGTCATCCGCATCTACGAGGCCATGGACGTGATGAACCTGAGTACGTGGTCGCTGGAGCACGAGCTCAACATGCGCTGCGCCGGCTCGTGCATCAGCTGGTCGCCGGCGCCGTCGTTTTTGTCTCAGCTCCTGGCGGCCGGGTCCGAGGAGCCGCCCAACGCCACAAACCCGCACACGGGCGGTGCTAAAGTGCTCGTCTTCGAGTACAGCAAGAGCGCGCGCAAGTGGAGCAAGGTGCAGAACCTGACAGCCATCACCGACAAAGTGCACGACATCGCGTTTGCGCCCAACATGGGCCGCTCATTCCACGTGCTGGGCATCGCGTCGTCGGCGGTGCAGATTGTCGCTCTGACTCCGCCGGCCGACGGCAGCGGGCCGCTGGAGGTACGTGAGCTGGCGCGGCTCGAGGACCACCGCTCGGTGGTGTGGCGTGTCGCCTGGAGCATCACCGGCACCATCCTGGGCTCCTCCGGGGACGACGGCTGCGTCCGACTCTGGAAGGCCAACTACCTGAACCACTGGAAGTGTGTGTGTAAGCTGCTAGCCGACAGCGGCTCGACGGCTGGTCGGGAGGGAGAGAAGAGTGCTGCGGGATCAGTGTCGGCCACCGCGCTGTCCACGGCCAAGTACTACAAAATGGGGACCATCAAACACCCGAACGAGGTGGCCTGGCACTGACAGCCAGCCCACTTCGCATCTTCAAGCACACGCAACTGTGCGGCGGCGATTGATACTTTTCGAACCATACGGCAGGGGCATAGCCGACAGTGATGGGTGAACCAGAACCGTGCTATTGCCGTATGTACAATGTACATGCATCACCGCCTCTGTCATAGCATTGTGTGTCGGTTGCGGTCGCCGACTCGCCACGCGAGTCAATTCGTGACAGCGGAAATGCGGAGCCTACGCCGGGATGTCCATACGATTTGTGTATCTTCGCTGACCGGGCCTGGTGTGCCATGGTGTATGTAGGTCGGCGTGTGCCGCAGCCTACCTCACACGGTATCGTATGGGTTCGAACTTGGGCTGTCTCAGGCTCGTTCAGTGTTCACCATTCAGTGATTATGGGATGATGTTCATGTATGGATGTGAGAGCAATGTGATCCGTAAAGTGAATGCTTGATGTTTGTGGAATGATGCTTGGCTGCGCACGGTTTCTGCGCGTACGAGGGAGGGAGGGAGAGGGTGAGGAGCGCCATTCACTGTTACAAGGGGCTACGATGACTGGGATACTGAGCTGCCCGCGCGCATACAATTACTCGCAGTGAATGCCAATAAAATGCAAACGATTTAGCTTACTATTTTCAATCGAGACCCCTTCTCAATTTACAACTGCTGGCATCAGACTTGCCTTAGTGCCGTCTGTTCCATCTGAAATGCATATCAAAAGTCCATATGCTGTTTATCTCGCAGTCTTTGTATTTTCCCTGGTATCCAGTCAGTCTGCGAGACATGGGTCGACGAGTTAGCGCCGCGAACGGCGGCGGTCGGCCACCGAAGAAGGCTACCGATTCACCAGAGCCTCGGCGACATACACAGCAACAAGGAAACTCTCGGACTTTGGCGACAAACGTGAACAAGCGTACCAAAGGCGGAGGAGTTTCTAGCGGCGGGTCGGCCGCGGTTCGCAGGGCCGGGGTGGAATCACTGCCGCGGCCGGAGCCATGGTCTGGGAGGCCGGTATTGACGTCCCGCCGGCGGTCACGAGGTAGGTGCAATACCCTCATCTGATGCCGTGGTGCGGAGCGCCGCCCGGCCACGCCCGCACGCCCTTCAACTCAAACTGGCGCACATAATCAGCACTGCGGTAGACAAGACGGTTAAATAAACATAACTTAGCGGACGCGCACGACTACAGGCCCCTACCAGCGAAGGCGACTCCGGCTTTCCTAATTCGCCGAGCTATCTAGATGCCTCCGCGGCGCTGCAACAAGTTCTCATCGCGCATTCATCACTTGACGTTCGGTACCAGAACCACGTAACAACCGGGTCGGCCTTCGCCGCCCACCCCCGCCGTATGGAGTCTCAGCATCTCAATCGCTCCATTCCCTCTTCCCCAGCAACCCCAGTACGACGGTCGGACCAGCCGCCCGACGAGACCATTGCACGCGCGGCTGGCAGGATCGTCCGCAGCCCGCAACCCCACCGGTGCCCTCACAGGCAAACAGTAGCATGGCCAGACCAACACAGCCGAGACAGGCCGATTCAGGCAATACCGGGTCCAAAAAGTCGGCATGTATCAACACATTTGAACCCAAAATGGTAGCCAACCATCCACTAAACAATTCATATCTCTCCAAGTACGGATTCAACAATGTGCGCTACTCGTTAGCGACAAATGCCGCTTTTCTATCCCCGCATACAATCTCATTGACTCCTACCCTCCCTCCCGTCCCGTCCCCATTCGTCCTAGATGCTCCCAGCACAGCGCTATTGCTTCTGCTCTTCCTGTTTCTCTTTCTCGAGCGCGGCGGCAGCCTCGGCAGCAGCGGCAGCGGCAATGTCCTCCGCCTCCTTCTGCAGCGCCTTCTCGATTCGGCGCTCGAGGTCGAGCACCTTCTCTCGATCGAGCAGTTCGATAATCTCCTCCATCTGTTTGCTGCTCAGCTTCAGGTTCTCTTGTCCCATTAGCTCGAGCACCTGTGGCAGAAAGACAGAGGGAGGACGGTCAAAGACGGAGGGCAACAGTCAGTGTCGGGCGGCGCTGGCGATATCAAGGGTGGACTAGTGTGCGAGTGCGAGGTCGGCAGATGGCGGGACCGTCGGAGGGCAGCAGACGGAGGGCAGCAGTCGGTGTCGGGCGGCGCTGGCGATATCGAGGGTGGGCTAGTGTGCGAGTGCGAGGTCGGCAGATGGCGGGACCGTCGGACTCAAACGGGGGATAATTGCACCATCACAACAGTGGGGTATTGGACGGACTTGAATGCCGCATAATTATAGTGCAAAACGTTTCTTAAACCATAACAATGGGAGGCAACCCGTGCAAAAGCTGTGCGCAAAACGAACTAAAAACACCACCGTAGTTTTAGTGTAAACTCTAGAATGAGCAGAGCGGGTTTCTGACTTGGCAACAACTCTGAACCAGACGGACAGCAACGATTCAGCAACTACAAACGGGATAAAACGAACTGGGGGACTCAATAAACAAAGAACGTAGATCAACCGAAATCAACCATTCAAAAGTCGCATGAAATCGTTCCATCACCAGTGTCAGTAAACTTTCAAACCACCGCAGTTCACAACTACGAAGGAGGTAATCTCCACCCGGTCCCTTCACGGAGCGGAGCGTCCCTTGGCCTGTGAACGGTCCTGTGAGCCACGTCATGGACACGAGAAAACACAGGCGCTACGAACACAGGAGTCACGGTGACCGGGCGGCCGGACGCTACCTCTCGCCAGGTATCACGGTAGCCTAGACCGTACGAATCGAGCAGCTGTTCACGGAGACGCTGCATGGACACCGGGCAGATCTGTCGACGGTCGCGAGTGCCCGCGTCACCGACCTACTATAGTTCACCGACCTCAGTTACAGTGATAACGGGCCTGTGTCACCGACCGTATTTACACCGAAACCGGGCAGATCTGCCCGCGGCCGCGAGCGCCGGCGTCACCAGATGACGCCACTGACCATCACCAGATGGCGCCACTGATCATCACCCGGCACAGTTACACTAGCACCGAATGGCGAATCGAGAAGTCGTCCGAGGCTAGCTCAGGTGTCTAGCCACAATTACGGAGCAGAACACTGTTTCAGAGAGCGCTGAAAAGCTGATGATGTCGCCCAACAGATATGCTTCGACACTATGTACCATACCAGGACGAATCGATCACTTCCTCGACAAGGACATTCACAAAGTGGTCCCGATAATAATGAAACATTGAAACACTAACCAGCAATGGTGATCTGGTTGTGCCAAGCACTTAACAGTGACAGTGGCACCACCGCTCACCGATACTTCAGTGAATCTGCACCCCTTGAGGGATTCAATACCAGGCCACATAAGGACCAATGATGTCCAGGCACGGGTCACGTGACAAACATTACCCATCCGCCGGGTTCATCCGTATTTTCCTTCCCCAGGATATCATACTCACATCATACACATCCTCGACGCGTATCGAGCCGTCCTGATTGTCATCCATCTTGGAGAGCACGTGCGCCATCGTGTTCAGCTTGGTCTTGTCGGGCACTGACTGGATGTGCTGTAGAGTCTGGATTAGCTCCTGAATGCCCACCTCTTCGTCACTGCAGAATGAAGACAGACATGTTACGAATATAGCATTTGCCAGTTACTGATCGGAGCGGAGTGAGAAGAGGTGAAAGGGACGGCTTATATAACAACAGACACAAAGGAAAGTCAGAAGGTTTCCACTGCGAGCATCTAAACGCTTTCAGATGGCTTATACCACCAGTAAAACGCCTTTTGGGCGACCAACGGAGCGAGCGAGAGGATGGGCCTTGCACGTGCGAAATTGCGAGGGGGTACCTCCAACTAGCTTGTGCACTGCACCCTACTAACCGGTCTTTAGCGATGTGCCAAATTTCAGCGCAATCGGCCTAGCCGTTCTCGAGATCTGGAAGCGGCACACTGCACGTGCGCACGTGCAAGCGGGGTCCAAACTGACTTTTGCACGGCACCCTACTAACTGGTCCCCAACCGTGTACCAAATTTGAGCGCAATCGGCCCAGCCGTTCTCGAGATCTGGGAGCGCCCCCTGCACGTGCGCACGTGCTGTAGCACCCCAACCTTAACACATGCAGATGAATTATCTGATGGAGACCTAACTGTGTACCGAGTTTCAATTCAATCGGCCCAACCGTTGTGCCGTTATTGAGGTTGCAATTTTGGGGGTTCTTAAAAAATGCCCAACTTTACCACGCGCCACGTGCGGTGGTTGGCAAGAACGCATGGTGGCCATCACACCACAGAACTTTTACGTCCAAGTGACATTCAGTAAAGAAGACCGCTTGTCAATCGGATGTCCCGTTCCTAAGATATTAGCTTTTGAAGAGAGTCCCCACGGCCGGCCGGCCGGCCGGCCGGCCGCTCATACTCAGGATTTTCCCTTAATTCAGTATGAGACTCCGCTCGCTTCGCTCGCTCCGTAACTAACACACAAAGTAAACAGAAACGCTCCTAGATCCAATACAGAACGCATAACAAGAAACATGTTAATGTTTCCATAAGCTTGTTCCTTCTTACCTCAGCTGCCTACGGAATCTGCTTATAAGAACTAAGTTCGCGATCACCAACCAGCCCCGGACCGTGCGTAACACAGTAACCGGCAGACCGACGCCAGCAGCTGACAGACCCAGCTGTTAATTACACTAGCAAGTGAACAAACACCCACCATGGATACAGACCAAACCGAGCGGCGGCACCGACCTGCGCTTGGCGTCGAAGCTATTGGCCTGCGCCACCTGCAGTTTCTTCTCCTTGGCCTGCAGCTTGTCGACCATCTTGTCTAGTGAGCGGATCATGCGGTTGACGCTGTACTGGAGGCCGCGCGCGGCACGTGTCTCCTTCAGGTCCGTCATGTCCTTGCCAGCCTTGTGCATGATATCGCGCAGATCTTGCAGGTCCTGAGGAGGGATGGAGGCGAGGGTCAGTCACCCAGCGTGCAGAATAAGTAACCACTGTCCACTAACAGCGATAGCTTAGTGCTAGCAAAGGAATTAGCACTGAGACAGTACGCAACAAATTCATCTACCGAGTTGCAACTTGCAAATGGTTTCGAAATTGGAATTCAACAATATTGACCTTCAAAATTATTAAGCTGAACTACCTACATCCCCCTTCGGCAATCGGCCTACAAAAGTGGACTGTTTGCTGCGATGGTTTACAATCAAAAGGCAAACGCCATTCGCCCCCGTCACAGTATACGTGAAACTATTATATGGCAAACTGTTGTGACGGCCGGGAGCCGTACTGTTCCACTGCACAACCCTCCGGAGAGCCCGCAGCCGTAGAGCACGTCACGTACCTCCTGGTAGTCTGCCATCTCCTCCTTGATGTCCTCGAGCTCCTCCTGTTCGAGCAGCGGCCGTCGCCGGGTGGCTGCCAGGGTCTCCAGCGCGCCCTCCAGCTCGGAGACGTCCTTGGAGGTGAGCTCGCTCTCCGCCGGCGCGCTGTCTGGCAGCGGCGCGGCGCGGTCCACCAGCGTGGTGGAGGGCGCGTCCCGCACCGGCTCGGCCGTATCCGCCGCCGCCGCCGCCGCGGCCTCCGCCTGCAGACGCTCCTGCGCCGCCTGCTCGGCCTGGAGCCGCTCCTGCGCGGCTGCCTCGGCCAGCGCGCGCGCCTCGGCGCGCTCCTCCAGGATCTTGCGCTCCTCGTCCTTAACGACGTCGACGCGCGTCTTGAAGTCGACGCGACCCTCCCTGTCGCCGATGGCGGCGCGGGTCGCCGTACCCTGGGGGCGGGAGGTGCGGTAAGTGGCAAGGAAACGCAGGTCGTCACGCAACAAGGTACTGGCCAGACGAGCTTGAGATCTTCGATCACTACCTTTGATCATGGAAATTAATATCGGCAAAACAGTGCATGACAAAAACAAATGTGGAGGTAAAATTGTATGACAAAACATCATTAAGCTTGATATTTTGATTTTCTTTGTAATTTCAAGAATTGTCAAAAGAGACCGCTACATCGAAGCCCACGATCACATTGCTCGATCCAGTACCCACCACTGTCATGCAAGATATGCACCACAGCCATACTCGCATCCCCTTTTCCCGCCAGCGCCAGGTCCCGGAGGGCGGTACGTACCACGGCGTCCGGCAGTCTGGAGATGGTGACCTTCAGCTGGTCACTGGTAGGCAGGTTCTCCGGCAGGTACAGCGCTCGGGAGAGGAGCAGTAGCGACGGCGGCACCTGGGAACGATCGGACGTCGTCAGACACAGACAGACAGACACGAGCATATTCCGCAGCAGCTCAAGGTGATGGGTGCTGAAAGATGCGTCCGGCATCCACCCGGCGACTGAATTGCAGGCTGACTGTGAACAACTCACGTAGATTTCAGCGATATACACCAAGTTATCTAGCTTCTAGATATGTATGCCTAATTCATAATTGCCTTGTCACCAACTAGTTAGAGCCTCACGATAGTTACTAGTTAGAGCTTCGCAGTTGAGAAAAGTCAAAAGGGCACGCACTGCTGATGCCTGACAGAACACGTCGACCCCAGCACACTCTAGTGGCGGATCCCGTGACTACTGCGGAGCGGAGTCGAGGTCAGGTGAAGCTGGCAGAGCCCGCCGTACCTTCTCGTTGAGGCTGAGGTCGAGCCACTGGGAGAGCTGAGAGCGCAGCCGCTGCTCGGAGACTCCGTAAGCGCGCATACCGCGGGCGCGACAGGCCGCCTGCAGCTCCTCTACGGTCAGCGTGTCGACCGACTCCCGCTGGATAATCTGGAAAAGAACAATGGGAGGGAAGGGATAGTCAACATCTATCGACTCCCGCTGGATAATCTGGGGAAGTGGAGGGATAATCTGTGTCAGCGTGCCGACCGATTCCCGCTGGACAATCTGGGGGAGAACATAGCAGGGGAAGGGAGAATTAGTTTTTATCGACTCCCGCTGGATAACCTGGGGAGGCGGAGAGGTGTCAATGTTTATTAACTCTCGCTGGATGATCTGGAAAATGAATTGGAAATTGGAAAGTCTATCTGTCGAACCTAACTGGAGTGCCGGAAAAGATCGATTAAAAACAAAAACAAAACAAAATTAGCACACCTGCATTAAAATCCACATAAAGGCGACCATCATCTTGAAAAGTTGTATTTAATTTGAGGCTGTAGGAAAAACATTTACGGGGCTCCAACAACGGTTCTTCGACCGTATCAATATCAAATACAGGTAAAAATACATGAGCAAGTGGCGTATAGTCGCGCGTGGCCGGACAGGCCGCCCCGCTCGCCCCGACTCCATACCCGGTCGTCGGCCTTCAGTCCTCGCAGTTTCATCTGTATGAGGAAGCGGAGGAAGTTGTTGGTGCCGAACGGCGGCACCTCCAGCACCCGACAGAGAGCCGCCAGCTGCGGCCGGTCCAGAGAGTCGAGAGTCACCTCGTCCTCAAACAGCTTCGAGAACTTGAGGATCTGTTCGTTGGAGGCCTGCTCGCCCGACGTCCGGATCTGAAGGCAGATGAGGGGGGCATGAGGAGCAAGACGACGGGGACGGGGAAGAGTCAGGCATAAGAGAAAGGACGGCATCGAGCTTAACTGTGGCCAAAGCACGCCGAGGGACAGTTGGTGTTTGCAACGTCTTGCAGATACGCACTACACACAACGCACACCAGCCACGAGATGGTGGCTTCCTGGCAACAAGTCTCGTGAAAAGCATTACACATACCCACCACCACACTGACGTATCCCTGCCAAGCGACCCACTGACATCAATATCATCCATCCATCGATGGCGAGAAACAGGGCAGGCCTGCGTAATCGTATATTTTATTTCTTCACGAAAGTAAAATTAATATAATTATATCAAATATTTGCAAGAATAAACGAAAAGTTCGAGTAACTTTCCCACATATGAGATCAATATTACTCCGCAATTTACTCATGGGCATGCGTTCTATGAACTAGGTCTCACCTCTTTGAAGAAGTCTGCGAACTCTCTGGCCGAGTCGGAGTAGTGACCCTTGCCCTTCAGCGCCATCGAGTCCAGCGTCTTCTGAAGGAACTTGGCCGTCTCCAGCTTCACCTTCAGCACCTGCTTCATCTTGGCGTCCTGAAAGGTACCTATATATCAGCCGAATCCATCATAATCTGCGTCTCTGAACCCTCAGAACTGTGCTGCAGGTATGGGCGAAAGTTTTCCGTTACAGCGAATATGCAACCTACGATATCATTATCACGCTATTTGTTTCATTACTTATTCGCTAAGTGATCTTGAGCAGTGCAACTAATGAAATCACTCCATGCATATCATCAAACTCTAAAAAATAGCGCTAACGGCTTGGTAGGTAACCAGAATGGAAAACGAAATTAGGCTGCCTATAGAATATGAGTCCGATGTCCACCGTTTACGAGTAGGCCACTTCACGATGAGCTATCACTTGTTTCGCTGTTTTATTGTCATTATCTTGTTTGTGCTCTCTGCGTGCTCATCTCTCAGCTGTTGTATATGCGCGCAGATCCGAACACTCTCCTCCCCCTCCCCACTTCCCCCTGTTCCGCGAATCGTGCCGTTAGCGCCAGGCGGCAACAGCGGCGCTCCTCTATTCCGAGATACGTGACGTCATAATAGTGATGACGTAACACGGTCCGACACGGAGGTGCAAATCAGACCGGCACACCGGACAAGACTGGTAGTCGCCAGTTCGTGCATACCCGGCGGGCGGGGGCAGGGGCGGGGGCGGGGACAGGGCCGGGTGCTGGGATGGGCGGGTAGCGGTAGTGAGGCGTCGTCAGCTAGAGCGGCTGAGCGGCGGGCGGTTCCTCGAAATTCGTCAGCTGGTTGGCGCTGCACTGGGCCGGCACGTGACCTACAGTCTGCTCATCACGCGAGCGGGGGGGGGGGGGGGGGGGGGGCAGGGAGAGGGTGGTGAGGCAAGCATCCACTCACCGTCTACAAAGGGCCCTCCACATACCGTCTGCTCAGACCGAGCCGTTGTTACCCAAGTTGCTACCCACCTCGGCGTTGGCTGTCTGGAAGGTGGACGGCAGCATGTTGGGGAACAGCTTGATGAAGACGGGCAGCAGCAGCTCCATGAACGGGATGATGATGAACACGGAGAAGGGCAGCACCCGGAAGAGATCGCCGACAGTGCGCACCAGCTGAAAAAGACGCGAAAATGCGTGATTATGTGTAGTACGGAACTTACTCGGAGTGGACATTTTGGAGCTGGGGATACATTTTTGGATTACGCATTAAGGAAAAGTTAGGAGTGAAAGAGGACTAAGGAAGGGAGGGGAAGTGAGAGAGTGGGAGAGTGAAGAGAAAATAATAGATAAAGGATAAGAGAAATGACAGACAGGAGCTGAGAAGTGAGAGAAGAGGGACAATACAAAGCAAAACAGCGAGAGAAGGTAGAATGAAAGAGAGAATGCTCACCTGTCGATTTTCTCGTCGGGACAAGCTTTCTCCGTTCAGTACCCGCCAAATGAGCCTTCTTGAGATGTTTATATTGATGAAGAGCAGCTTGAAGCCGTGGTAGTAGTGCTTCACCTCGTCGACGAACCGGATCCAGAGCGTCCTGCGCGGCGGCTCTTTGGGCTCCACGGCCAGCCGTTTCTCGGCGATGGGCTCCTGTACGATCACGGACGGCACGCGCTCCTGGGACGGCGGTTCGCGCGGCGGAGGGGGTCCCGGCGGCGGCTCGGACGAGTCCTTCAGCTGGCTGCGCAGCGACTCGACCGACTCCTCCACCTTGGAGGAGGGCCGGTGCAGCTCCTTGTCGAGCCGCGGTCGGCCCAGGTGCAGCGGCCGGTAGCCGGAGCTGGTGGGCGCCAGCAGGAGCACCAGGTCAGCGGGCCGCCGCCGGCGCACGGCCGGGTACAGCAGCAGGCCGCGGCCGGCCGCCCCGGCACGGCACACTGCCACCCAGCGGGCCGACATGGCCGCCTGACGAACAACGGCACTGAGCGTTAGTACAGCTAGTGCAGTCACGTGAAAAAAACATTGCTCCCAAGTCCCAGTCCCTCCATCCATTCAACCACAGAACACCACAGGCCAGTCACTGAACAGTGAACACTATCACAGGTTATACCTTGGCAGTGCCTAAACAGTCATGTCCAGCACAAGCAAACTGCAAAACCATACAATATAGCCACACAAACCACCTAACCTAACTCATTCCTGTTCTTGAATGTCATTGTGGATAATATCTACCAAGTACCAGCCAAAAGTGTCAACTGTCAATAACTTGTTACAGAATACAAGCTTCAGCCTTCATCCACCTACAGAATGCCAGGCTTTGTATACACTTTAACCCTCGCCGGCACGGCACAAGGGGGGGGGGGTTGGTACGACCCCCCCCTCGCGTTTGGCCCCTGATCGAGCTAGAGCTTCGCGGAAAAAACGAGCGTGTTGCCCGTCACGAGACGAAGCTGATGATACCCAATTTTAAGGTCCTAGGTCATCGGGTGACCTTCCAGGTCAGGTCAATGACCCGAAAACCGGGAAAATCGGGACCTGTTAGAAAGTCGTAAAGTGTGGCTGCTATGTGGTTTTCCAGGGTGCTGATCACGAATATCGTGTTAGTTTTGATCAGAGATGATGTCTTTAAGCATTTAGACCAGGTCGGGTCAGGTCAGGTCAGGTCAACCGGTAGGGGTTGTGACGGGTATTCGTACTACGTGTCAACCGCCTCGGACAGCTTCGTAACATGTTACGAAGGCACCAAAACTACTTCGTAAATGTTCAAATGGTTGCTAAATTCGAATTCAGCTCCAAAAACTAGCCTAGAAACATGTAAAACTCGAAAAAGTGAAACGAGGTCACCCGAGGTCACCAAAGGTCAATGACCTGACCTGACCTTCAGGTGACCTTGAAACCCACCCTAATGCATGGGAGCAACATCAAATCACATGTTTGAACGTTTGAAACCACGAAAAGCTTGCAAACGCGCGGTTAATGCGAGCCGACATGCGCCGAACCGCGATTTCGGCCAAACATGGTCACAGAAAAGAGGTCACAGGTCAAAGGTCATTGGGGTCAGGGTCATGAAATTTTCAGGGTAGGTGTAAAATTGATCAATGCGAGGGTACTGAAAGTTTCGTCGCGATCGGCCGCTTTTTACGCGAGTTATTCGCGAAAAAACCTTAGGGGGGGTTGCATCAACCCCCCCCCCTGTGCCGGCGAGGGTTAAAGTGCAGTAACTAGATTTTTTTTTCAAGAAACTGTCCTGATAATTCCTACCTTTGAATATTGCCTATTGGGCTTTGTGGTGCTAGCAGCATAGCTACTAATGTTGATCACCCACACCAATAACTAGCATTACATAATGCACATTGCACATTGCAGAGTATATGCAACCAGTGGTGAACCACTAGCATATACGATTTGATATCCACTATGTTATCCATTTTGATTATCCAATATCCATCTACCTTTGCAGCACACACTGTAGAACAGGTGAGCTGCACAGTGATCATATGTATCTACTTTTATCCACTACACAACCACTTTTTCTCTTCATAGAATGTTCGATATTTGAAATGTCACAAAACATAAGATAGATATCTTATAAAAAAGAGCTTTATTACCACCAAAACTACCAAATCTTATGTAACACTATCACAATAAACCCTGCAACTGGCAACGCACCATCAATTATTGCTTTTGACTACTCATCCCTTTGTTTGCTCATTGACTATGCTCATGTTTCACCTCTGTGCAATGTCCAGCAATAATGCATTTCTATTGTCTATCTAGAACAGAACTAATAAAACAGCAGATAAGCAGGAGAATGGCAAGGAGATAGCATGGCAGCAAAGCAAACAGCAGAAACACAGTAGATTTGTCTAATCATATCAATATCATGAATCCTTACTTCTAAGGTAAAACAAATGTTTTTATTATTCAGGCAGTCAACCACTATCAAGTAAAAAGCAGTAGGTACTTCCAGCACGACAACTGAAACCAGTTCAAGTTGTGGATTACGCCAAGTGGGGTGACTGTGAGCTTAAATACAAATTAATAATAACCAAATGCTTGAAAATATATAAATCTCTCTGCAAAACATCTCAACAACTAGGTACAGCCCACCGCTAAAGTAATGTAGGGTTTTACCAATCTCAACGGTTGGCTTTGACTGGCGATTGTTTAATGCGGAGTGATCGAAAAGAAGATGTCATGTCAATACCTAAAGTTGCAGCTGCAAGGGTGACGATACATAGGTATAAGCTACATTCAAAGTTTCACTGTAATCTGGCTAATCGTTCCTAAGCTTCAGAAGCAGAACATACCCATGACTGAAACCCCACATTACTTCTGCTGTGGACTGTACCTGGGTACCACTTACTTATCAATGAACAGAAAGCCGATAAATATTGTATCAATATTTGTTGAAGCATGGCCAGTTAGCTTACCTTTTTAAATAGGTTGCTCCTTGTAAGGAAGAAAATGCACACTTTTATGAACCTATATCAATAGTAAGCACTCTTCAGCCTTCAGGTACAATTTATATCGAAAAATGCTCACATAAGTAGACAAAATTGAATGCTCTTGTTTCGAGAATCCAAACCCTGAATTGGAATGAATATGCCTATCCTAATTAATGTAGTTGAAAGCTTTGCATGTTAATAAAGGCAGACGAAATTTCGAAAACACTTAAAATGAAAACGAGTAGCTAGACTTCAGCAATCAGAATCCAATCCAGAGTCATCTTGCCACTTTGACTTTGACTTGCAACCGCAACTCACAACACACACACACACACACACACACACACAAGAAGCAAAATATCGGCTTGCGTCATGTTGGCCGCAGCCGCATCGTGAAAAGTGGAAAATGCTAGTCTAAGGCGCTGCAAATTTTGAAAGAAAGTCATATTTGCAATTTGCAAGCATTGGATGCATCTTTTAAAGCCATTTTCATAAAACGAAGGCGTTTTTCACTATTTAAAGGGTATATCAATATTTCAGTCCAGAAAACCCTTAATATTTACCTAGAAAGAGTATAATCTATCTTGAAGCAACTTTCCTTTTCTGTGTTTTGATCGTCTTGATAAGTCATCATTTATGTTCTATAGATGGCTTTGGTTCAATGATTCCAGAAAACTAGATGGTTTTATTAAAAAAGTGAAAGATTAGTTGAGTTGTACAGTGTACACTTACAGTCACAGGATAATGGATATTGCCGAAGTCTACATATTTCACAGCATTTGATTTCAGTGAAATTAGAGACATCTGGCGGAGTGATATGAAGCTCTGCTTCGGCTTTCTGCTGCATGGTGCCGTGCTAAGTCACTTGTGAGCCGCGAATTGGCCGCGAACGGAAATGTTGTGAATTGTGATCAGCGCGGTGGCTGTTGAATGATGATTGGAGTCTCGGCAATCCGTGTGGACAGTTTGAGTTGTTAGAAAGGTGGATCAACATAAATGAAGATTTCGTGGAACTTGGAAGTGGTGAGTGCCGAGTGGTGACAACCTGAATCATGATTCTGTCTCGGTCAGTTCCTTGCTGAATGCTGCGCGCGTCTTCATCCCAGAGCCCAACCAGAGCCGCGCGCGCGGAGTTTTACCTAACTTGCAAGTTGCAAGTGTAGAAAGCCGATTTGTTTTTCAAATGATGTCCTTGAAATAACGATCGAAGACTGACGAACATTTACTCGCAAAATGGTAAGTATATCATTTCAATTCGATGTTAGGTATTTGATGTGATTGATAAATGATATGTGACTTGTGAGTGATGATAGGCATGCGATTTGTGAATTTGTTCCATTCCATTGGCTTCCATCTCGAGTCCTTTCTTCGTTTCAGCTTTTGATGACAATTTTCGTTTTAAGTCAACCATCCTCCTCGTGCTCTGGACCATTGACCGACCCATCCCATAAAATATTTGTACCACGCTTCGTTTCCAGTTTACCTGCGTGGCGGCACGGCTACTGTATTTTCTCACTCCTCCCTGCCGACAGCCGGCGTGCGCAATTCCAAAGCATTAACCCGCGCCGGGCCGGTGCTCTGAGATTCCGCGCCGGGCCGCGGGGGGGGGGGTGTTTGAACACCCCCCCCCCCTTCTAACTCGGCTCCTGGGCCACGTAGCGACACGCGGTAAGCGGCAATCGAAAGAACGTCAAAAATAAGGACGAAAACCACCAGAGGTCACCAAAGGTAAAATGTTGACTATTTCAACATTTTGGAAACTGCCAACGGCTATCTCGGGAACCGATAGAGCTACAGCGCCGCAAAAAAGCGCATTCGATAGCCCTGTTAAGCAGGGATGCGGAGCCGGAGCCGGAGTCGGAGCCGGAGCCGCCGGAGCCGGCATATTTTGCCCGGAGCCGGAGCCGGAGCCGGAGCCGTGAAACAATATAGCCCGGAGCCGGAGCCGGAGCCGGAGCCGCCAAAAAAGGGGGCGACTCCGGCTCCTTTTTATTTTTGAAGAGGAAAAACAATAATTGACCTAGTTCGGTTTGACAGTACAAGGCAGTAAAACATATCGTACTATTGGTCTCAATATAAGTGCCCAGGCGACCTGTAGTTTTGATGCGGTGAATACCCTCACCCTCGCCACAATGTGAGTGGGGGTGGCGCTGGCTGGGAGGAGGGGTGCACTCGGCCCGAGTTGTGGCGAGGGTAAGGGTATTCGCATCAAAACTACAGGTCGCCTGGGCCCTTATCTTGAGACCAGTAGTACGTCATGGGCCATCAAGTGAATGAAAAAGCCGAATATCCCCAGTATCCCACATGGTACGCAATCAACTTCCTGTCTGCTCCTCCCCCCCCCCCCCTCACGTCTACTGCATCCCCAGAACATGAGGACCGGTCATCAGGTGACGGCCATTGTTTTTAAAGGGACTATCCCACCTTCTAAAATGTTGTTAAAACCAGTTAAATTGTGCCCGACTTTATAGATTGGATGACAAGGAACACGGTTCTGGCATTTATTTTTTCATTAAACATCTTAGGCTTCCCATATTCCAAACACAAACTTTCAAATATGTGACGTCACAGCCCAAAATTACCTCCTTCCCCAGGCCACATTACTGTCATAAAGCTGATTCTTTTTACTCTGTAGGCACCACAACGAAGTTCAGACCAAGTTTTAAGCGATTTTTAAACGAACAAACCCATTTAAATCAGAATGACTAAACGAGGTGACGTCACACTAACGGTCGCTCCATGTTGAAGATAGGGCCTTGTACAAGGCCCATTTTCAAATGAAGGGAACGAATTTCTTCAACACCAAGAGGCCGCGGGGGTTGCAACCTAGATAGATAGTGGTTTCTGAACCTCGCCGCAAACTTGGCTATCTCAACTCAAACCCCATGTTAAAGGTGGGATAGTCCCTTTAAGCCAGTGCAGTGGACTGCGACTCCCAGCACCGTCTCTTCCCACCCCCACCCCCACCCCCCACCCCCCAATGCAGCCGAGATGGGTGTAAGCTTACGATGGTTCAGTGAACTCCGATTCGCGGCGACTGCGTTTCCAATGCCATCGCTTCCTAGTCCTTTGTTCTGCCAGTTCTCTCCGAGGTGCGTTTGCGCGGGGACGCGGTGAGCCGGTCATGGCAAGAGTAGGTAACGCGTATAACCAATCCAATTTTTCTTCCACCCGTATTTAATTGATTGCAAAGGGGATGTACTGAGTCGGAGCCGGAGCCGCCGGAGCCGGAGCCGCCGGAGCCGAACCATTTTACTCGGAGCCGGAGCCGGAGCCGGAGCCGCCATAACATTTCACCCGGAGCCGGAGCCGGAGCCGGAGCCAATTTTTTTCTCCGGAGCCGGAGCCGGAGCCGGAGCCGTTTGAAATTTCCACGGCTCCGCATCCCTGCTGTTAAGCACATGTCACACATAGGCGGCGGAACGGGGAGGGCACCGGGGCACCGTGCCCCCCTTTGATTTTGACATTTTAACATTAGCCCTATCCCTACACTGAGAAACACTCAAGCCTATCCATGGTTCTCGGAGACCATGCAGGGGTCGTTCTGGTCTTGTATGAGAGCCTCAATTGGGGAGAACTTTGTTTACAGTTGTTGGTCTCCAGTTTGGTAAAGTTCTCAGGTTTTTCCCGTAACGTTCTCGAGTGAGAATGGTGTGCTATCTTGAACGAAAACTTTGCCCGGATAAGGTACTCTTATACTGCGGGATGATCTCCCATGAGAACCTTTACCAGGTCATGAGATCATAAACGAACACAATGCCCGCTCATAATATGATCCTGTATGGTCTCCGAGAACTTTACAACTTAAGAGCGCCGGCTTTCCTTGCACGGCATTCGCGCTCACGACCCATTCCCCCCCCCCTCCCCTCCCTGTAGAGCGCCAGCTTTTCATGGCACAGCATCCGCGTTCTCGATCCTTCCCATTCCCTCCATGCACAAACAAGGTAAAGAACAGGCATGTATATTTATTGTGTCAGATGTCAAAAAACTCACTCTGGAACAGAACATGCGATGCAATTTTTCGATGCGAACATTTTGTTTCAAAAGCTGCCCAAACCCTCTCGCTTGCCGCCCCAGTCAGTACCGACCAGCGTGCTGAGTTTCAACTGAGTCGTTTAGCAAGAGACCATAATATCTCCCGGTGCACGACGGCTCAGTCCCTTTACTTTACTTTTAACACGGAATGCAGGTAAGTGCAAAAATGCATGTCAAGCGGCGCTCCCCACGGTCCACAGACTGTGCGAACGATGTACAATTCAAACACTGTTAAGTACAGGCACGTACAATAGTTACACAGGCACAGACATTAAAAAGTTAATGCAGGTAAAATGTATGGGCTGGCATGTGAACACTACCGACGGGAGTCCATGCGAGACCGAAGTCTAGCCATAGGAGCGGCGGAGGCGACGACAGCCGGTTGGCCGCTCTAGACAGTTTGCGCAGCTGGTACATCTGGCTGGGAAGGAGCTACTCCAGCATGGCAGCCTGCTGACTGCTGAACCATGAGCGCCATCAGACGCTCCAGCTGCTCGTTGTCTCCCATCACCGGTACGAGCGATCCGACACGACGGTGTTAACTTCTGTGCGTCTCTGAATCGGTGTCGCGCACAGGGTCAATCTCACTCGCGTACTGGCCACGCATATTATCGATTACACCACTATTTCACTATTTCACTGTGGCCGGACCGTCTCGGCGAACACGCCTCACCTCACCTCGCGGCACTCAGCTGTGTTGACACCAGCGCCGCTCGGACGATACTGACCCTCGGCCGCTCGGCCCGGCCCGGCCGGTCAAGGTCGTTCAAGGTCACGGCTGTCAAGGCGCGACACGCGTGACCCAGGCCAGGACACAACAGGGACATTTTGGCGTTGTGCCCGATGAGTTGCCTCACTTCGGTGTCCAACATTGAGAGCATCGTCTCCACGGCTTCTTGCTCTGAAAGGGAGAGTAAGACAAATATTAGAGAAACGGCAGATTTCTGTCGTTTAGAAACGTTCAGAAACGCTTAATTTCTGAGCCATATCCTCAAAGCACACGGATTGGTATTTAAGCAGATTTTGCTAACACTGGCAAACAGATGGCAATCGCAACTTAAATCCCAAAAATGGGCAATGGCACACAGATTTTGCCACCTCCCAGAGTAGGTAATTACCTTTGCTGTGGTTACTCTCAAGCTGTTAAGTGCACACAAAGACATACAGAAAACAAACTCACCATGAGACGTTCGCGCAGTGCGCCAGACACCAACTCGCGAAAGGAACAACCACGCTGCCGGCAGCCTTCGCAGTGCTTTCGAGAAAGGAAGGACCGGAAGCACTGAGGCATTATAGAGATGTTCCTTAGGGATATCCATTTAAAGTGGTTTGAACTGTTAAAATCGATAAACATCGTGTCATATAGTAAGGCTCTTTTTCATTAAAAATTATTTCTTCTACTGAAAAATACATGTTTTATTTTTATCAATAATTGCTATTTTCCTAAGCGAAAATGGAATCGCAGCACTTCAAACTGCTCTACTCTTAACACAGCGCCACCTACGCCTTAAGTTTCCTTCTGTGCTGACATCTGTCGTCAAAACACGTCAGCTGCGAGAACTATAAGGAAAAAAGTGAGAAGTTTACCATCCTTTCTGACCGAATGACTGCTGGTTCGAATCTCATCGCAGACCGACTGTTTGCGTTACACGGGTAGCTAGACAACTTCCAGTACTAAACTATCTCGGTCAAGACCAAATCCACTCCTGAAACCGAAGTGGAGACCATGCACAGTTCTCGAGAAAGACCAATTCCTCAAAGCGGCAAAATGGAAACCATCGAAGGTGCTCAGGTGAGTACTATCAGTATAAGTTCTAAAATGTGTTTCTCAGTGTATGGGCGTTGCATGGAAAGAATGGGACCAAAAGTCGGCAGTGCCCCCCCCCCCCCTTAACTGAAGGTGTTCCGCCGCTACTGATGTCACATGACCCTCCGAGATGACCGACGGCTGAGTCACTATTTGAGCGGATGGATGACCCGTCCCAAACTGGCGCGTTATTTCCAGAGGGCCCTCCGCCTGCTTCCAGTATTTGGCATGCTTTAGCCTGTACGAACCTAACCGCTCCCAAACGAAACCGTCAGAGGGTCAGGCGCGGATACAAGGGGGGGGGGCCATGGGGGCCATGGCCCCCCCTTGGCCGATTTTTTTCAAAAATAAAATAAAAAGTTAAAAAGCTGAAAAGGGGGCCTCCTGAAAATAA